AAAGCTGCAGATGGCCAATTATCTGGAAACTTACTCATTCATGAATGCATTTTCCCGAATAACTGCCAAGAGGGGGACTCCGAGACTTATAATTTCAGATAACGGCACAAACATCGTGGGAGTCGAAAAAGGTATGTGTAAGAAGATTGTGCAAGCCACCAGCAAACGCCGATATACTGGTTAGAAATTCAATCTCCCATCGGCCCCATACTTTTCTGGTGTTTTCGTATGATAAAGAGCGCAAAGAAAGCCATTAGAGCAATACTTGGCGATGCGGCAATTAATGATGAGGAACTAGAGACTGCCATTGCAGGAGCGGAAGGACTTATCAATTCGAGACCTATAACCGACGTGAGTTCTAGCCCAGATTGACATGACACCACTTAGTCTAAGCCATTTTCTGATTAAGCAGTTGGGAGGGGAAGTTCTACCAGAAGTAGTCTCCCATCTCAGAAAACGCTGGCGTAGCGTACAACAACTAATATCTCAAGTTTGGAAGAGTCTGCGACAAAAAATCTTGCCTAGTTTAAACGTACGATCAAAATGGTTCACTTCAAAGCAAAAACTGAAAGAAAACGATGTTGTTTTAGTTGATGAAGAATTGTGAGACATATCCCGGGAAAGATAATCTTATACGAGTAGGGAAAGTGTGCGTTGGAAAAAATGAATTTCATTAACCTATTAACAGGCTTTGTCACACACACATCATCGTCATCATCATCATCATCATCATCATCATCATCATCATCATCATCATCATCACAACACGCCGCCCTTAGTAAAGCATCTTCATACACATGGAGATTTAGCATCGTTTGAACCTCAGCAAGCACAGATGGGGTAACTGGTTGACAATCTCGTTTCTCGTTCCTTTCGTTGCGCTTTTTAAGCGGAGACAATTTTCCAGAGGTTTGCAGAAACCGTTCTCTACACGCAACGAACGAATCCCCACCAAATAAACTTTGATGGAGGATTCTTTGACATTATTAGCTAAGGATTTTGCAAACAACATTAAAATCCATTTTGATACGGGTGGATGTTGCCATTTGAGTGTACTCGTTGCGACCAATAGCTGCACTGGAGGAATTTACGCTGTGCCGTATCGTACGTGCAAAGTGTACACGAAGTAATGTCTTGAAACATCAACGTTTGCGTTTGCTGCTGAAGGTTTTGCAGTTCAGATGGGCTAGCAGTAATATATGAATCGACACTGGTTCGTGCTGTTCCTGTGGTGCTAGCTCTCGAAATATCTGCATTTGAAAACGTGACAAAGCATCAGCTATTCCATTGTCTTTACCGGCAACATGCTTAGCAGAAAACTTAAAATTTTGGTGAGCTGCATATAGAAACAATTCTCGTAACAAAATTATAAGTTCGCTGTTTTTAGACGTTCTGGACATAATAACAGCAACTACACTCTGATTGTCGCATTGAAATTGCACGTGGCTAATTTGCCAATTCGCACCCCACACATGGCATGCAACCACAAAAGGGAAAAGCTCTTTGTATACAATCTTGAGGTTTTTTTTGTCCAACTCACCACTCCCCGTTGAAACATTCGCCATTTATGAATGCACCATATCCCAAACCACCCAATGCGTCTGTGAATAAACTAAGGTCTGAAATTTGTGTCCAGTCCTGTAAATCAAAGAAATGTACCCCATTCCAAGTCGTCAGAAAGGAGCGCCCCCAAGCAATATCCAAACTACAATCCCTATTCAATCTAATAAAACACGATTTTTTATAATCTCAACCTTTCAACAGATTCAATAGACAACGAAGAAATGTACGGCCATGTAGTATACGCATGACTTAGCTTTCTTGCGAAGGACTGAAGCTCTTTCAGCCGACACCAGTGTTTGGAACTCCAGACGTGGACCAGTTGTGTCAACTCCATTAGCTTTTCTAATAGCAATTGAGCAATCATTTCAACCGAATCCAACTCAAATCAATAAACGTACGGCAAGTTGTTGGGCTGACACATTTTTTAGGGAATGCCTACGGAATGCCTAACACACAAGCTGCTTTATCAATTGCTTTCAACTGCAACGCACAAATTTCGGACTCGGGTAGTTCCAGAGTGAAGTAATCATCAAGGTAATGCAAAAGATCACAAACATCCCAACAATGTACTAAGCACCACTGAAATAAGTCTGCTAAACTGTCAAAAATATCCGATGCTGAACGTAAACCGAACGGCAGAGTCAAATCTAATACTTTTCTTTCCAAATCATTCTTAAAAGGTAGCCATCTGATGGGTGTACGGGAACAATGCGATAAGCGCCTTTGATTTCCACTTTGCCCATCAATGCACTTCTTCCGGTTTGATAATCAGAGCAAGAGTATTCAAAACTTTACTATACATGAGGGAAAAATCCTTTGTATTTATACTGCCAATTACGCTGTGTTCGAAAGGAAATGAAAGATCAAGAATTTGGCCGCAAACCCCATTTCTTTCTCGAATGACTCCGAAACGATTAATTTGCATTGATTTTAGTGCTGGCTCTTTTGTGGAGGCAAATACGTGTATTAGTGAAATTTCTTTAGCTATATAATCATCAATAACTTGCGGATGGTTCAACGCCGACCAACAGTTGGCTTTAGTTGATGTTGGCACGTGCCCAGCCGACAGGCCTCCCCATAGCGACACCACTATACACAATGGTATGGTGAGCTATGGCGTGCCTCCGTTTAAAAACATTGTAAATAAGCTCAAAATGAGAGCATTGCCAAGGTAGTATTTGTGATTTTTTATTTCACAAGTGCAGGTTTTTGTTACTTACTCCTTGCTACATTTTTCTGGTGTTGAGTATATTGTATTGTGAATTTGCACGACCCATTGACGACTTTTATAGATTTGTCCTAACTTGTTGTTTGCTGATTCTCAGTAAAAACTAATATGCATGTAGTATTTTGACATCTTAAAAAACTCTTTATAAATTTTTTTTCATTCATTGTTGTTGCAAGGGTATCTCTAAGTATATCAGATATGAGCTTGACCTTCTTATGTTTTGAGAAAAACTATTAGAATTTTCTTACGATTTTGTCGACACGTAGAACATCCCTAATTTATGGAGGAATATTCAACCATGTTTTTGACAATCGGTATAAAAAAGGTATATAATTTCTTTCGGTTAAAATTTTTACTGATGCTAATTATTCCTGTCTGTTTTTTAGACAAACCTTTTGCGACATGCCGATGCCTACAATCCTCCGAAGGAAGAGGAATTTTACGTCATTTGTACAAAAAATATGAGACAGTCTGTAGATATTACTATCCAGATTTTTTTTGCTGTCAAAAGATATTTGTACTATAATAAATTAAGTACATTTCATTGAAACTAAAAATAAGTACGAATTTATTTGCTCAATATTTAATGGTTGAATAACATAATATTAATTGAATAATCAATAGTGTTCTTTTATTGTTATGTAAAAACAGCTGATTTATAGTTCGTGTAAGGAACTTATACTACGACAGCTCAAAAAAATAACATCTCAATTTTGTTATTGATTCATTAAGAATTAATTTAACAAGGGAAAACTTTGGCAATTGCTCTTATGTAGCTACTTTTATAGGGAGTGAGATCAATGATGTCATTTGACAACTTTGTATGCTAGCAAAGCTGAACAATGATTCTTCCAAATAATCAGTAATATTCTGTGTTGTGACAATTTCAACTTCTCTATTTTCAAAAAACAATTGATGTCACTTGCGTTCATTCATTGACTTTGCCAAGGCAAAATATTAGAAAAGACGTATAAAAAGTCCAGGGGCATGCTCCTTCGGAAATTTTGATTTTTATTGTCTCGGAAATGCAATTATAAAAAATTTAGGGTGGATAATAAGCGGATTTTATAACTATCAATTAGGGACCATTAGCATGCCTATGACAGCCTGATTCTGATATCGACAGCCTTGCACTATCACTAACCACAGGGGAATACATAATACTCTAGAACTTCTAGAATATTTTATGGCGTTAAGGTGCCAAAAATTGCACAAAATAAACAATATGCACCATCCTCTTCTGAAGGGGGATAAAAAAACTATTGAAAATCTTTAACTCCCTAATACCTAAAAGCTCTTAGTTCTCATTGATGAAAGGAGGAAAAACATATTTTTTTAGAACCTGAAAACTTTCCTAATCAGATTACAAATCTCATGAGCTTTAACCATTATTTTACAAAAGGCTAACTCAAATTGATTAGTACGTGCATGCACTGGTTTGCAATCAAATGGTTTGAGCTGCTACCAGGAAAGCGAACAAATACGAATGTAACTCTTTCCTGAACGGATTTTTAAACTTTTTACAGTGGTGATCCTAAAAATTTAAGGGAGTAAGGATCTTCGGGCAGTAAGTAGCATAGTCACCCAAGGTAGTTTACAGAGTTGAAACATAGCCATGTAAGAGCAACTCAGTTTAACTGTAACACTGATTTGTTTTTCTAAAATCATGGGAGTGATGTAAAATGTTTCTTAGAGAGGTGAACAAATTGTTTAAGAGAGTGAAATATAATATTCGGGTTGAGAGTGACTACAATTTGTGCAAAAAATTTGTTTTTGTATAAAAGGCCAAGCATAACAAGTTGATATTAAATATCTTTTGATATTCTTTGTCAGTGTCGATCATAATAGATATTTGAAACTTGCATTTTCCTGCACTGTCGCAAGATTGCGCGAATCACGCGTGACCGACACGAAGTCCTTGAATTAATCAAAATCTTTCTTAACTCGTTTCATGCGTAAGTGTCACTAATGATTCGTATAATGAAACATGATTTTCATACATAATATATTGGTACATGTAAAATTGCATTACCGTGAAATTTGTTGTGCTATTTGGTTACAATTATAATGCTCGTTTGTAAGGGGCGAGTGGTTGAATGGTTAATGACGTGAGCTGTAACCTCGGAAACCTTTATGTAACTATCGACAAAACATTGAGTTCTATAACAACTGGAGCGAGTAAGTGGACTGGGACCTGTTGTAAAAAAACATGGAGGCCAAAGGACCTATTTCCGCTGAAATAATAGCCTTGCATAAAAAAATTGTCCTCGACCTCCCCCATGTATCTATAGTCAATTGTATTGAATTTTTCAAAAACAAACACGAAGCCCTTTTGGAATATCCACGGCCCTTGGGCCCACACATTAAAGTTATTGGTACACTCACTGCCCGTCCTCCAGAAAAGCTGCCAAAAGAATTTCAGGCTTTCGTGAATAAAAGTGATATAATCTTTTTTAGTGTCGTTTGGGACAAGTCTATTTAATTTGAGCAACTCGTTCTTGCAGACAGTTACTGAAGGACTTGGTAATTTATCAGTACCTATCTTGTAGAAGAAATCGGAAAACTTGCATCCTTCCGTGTACCTAAAATGTTATCTTGTGGACTGGATTCCACAAAATGATATCTTAGGTCACGTGTCTACCAAAGTACACGTCATGCATTTGTGTTTAAACAGTTTTCTTGAAAGTGTTTATCACGGTGTACCTATAGTTGGTATTCCCATTTTATTTGATCAACCGAGACAAGTTGTTATTGTCCAACTCAAAAGACTTGGCAAAATCTTGGATCGTCACACGATGACGTCAGGAGACCTTACAGATGCCATTAATGAAGTATTGACAAATATGAAATACGAAGAGAACGTCAAACTTATTTGAAAATTGATAAAGGACAGGAAACCACTAGAGGAAGGCGCCAATGGGATAGAGTATGCATTACGTCATGATATTGCGAAACATTTAGTTAGCGATGCGTTGTACCTTCCTGAGTACAAATTGTACTCCATTGATATTTTTCTGTATATATTTTCCTTATTTGTTTATATTTTTTGCACTTTTTATGACTTTCTGTGTAATTTACCGATGCGTAAAAACGAAATCTTCCTTAAAGTATAAGAAAGCTTAAAGTGCTTTATACCGCATTTTGGTTGACAGCTTCTACATCAGTTTTTACGTACAAAATATATTTCCAGAAAAAGTATAGTGGCAACTCTGAATTAGAGAAAGACAGCGCACCCAAAGTCTTGGATCCCACAAATACATTTTCAATAATAATACAAACTATACTGTAAAATTAGCAATGCACTATCGTCGAGTTTTTTGCGAAATATGATTTGTATATAACTAGTCAAACTCAGCGTAGGTACAAGAAAAGTATGTTGCAAAGGCTGGTTTTCATATGAAATAACTCGTCAGAAATTATTTCTTGTAATTGTTTTCAATACTGTTTTTCAAATGACATAATTTGCATTTTATTTGACGTAAATATTTTTTCGTAATTAATTGTAATTGAGGCTTGGTTTCTAAAATGTTGTATTTTGTAAAACTGACGAGAATCACGGTTGTTGTAAAAAAAATGTCGTTAGATTGCTGTAATTGTCGTGAACAACGAAAAAATACGTTAATTATGATTTCGGCTTTCATATATGTCAGCTTTTGCATGAGAAAAAGAAATATAAAACAAATTACCACAGTGAATTATGAAAATTTATGTCATATCAAAACTATGCCCTTCTATTTGGATGAATAGGTCACACGCTCTAAACACTGAAGCTAAGAAATTGGTAAATAAAGTGAATGGAACAGGGTTGCCTGAACTTAGTTAAAACAGCGGTCCATTAGAGAAATCTTGAACAGAAAAGTAATCCAGCAAACTTTGAACTGGACAGATATCTGAACGACGTGATAACATCTGAACGGCAGGTCGTTCGTTATACGAATGCTTGAAGTCATTTAATGTTATCTTAGTTTCGATTGTTTTATTAGTTTCATCGACTACCTTAACTACCTGGTTAATGTTAATAACTGAAGGTGACCTATGACAATTTGTAATCTCAACTATACGTAAAAGGGGAAAAAATGCAGTGGTGCACATGGCTTTAAAAAGCCTCTTGTCACACACAGTGGAAGTTTATGTTGCCATATTCTACAGAATGCTGCGAAGTAAGGGCAAAGTAATTGGCAACCAAGAATCAATCCGAGTTCCTATCTTTTTATAGCCTTTTAAAATCTGAACAATCCAAAAAGTTTTACTAGGGTCAGGGTAATCCGCCAGTCGATGACAGTACCCGAGAGCAGACACATATGTAAGCACCGTAGAAGGCGCATACTTGCGTTGGAACAAGAAAGCAATAAATAAACTCAGATCTTTTGATGAAATGGGAAGTGAAACTAAAGCTCTTTAAAGAGCCTAGTGCGAAAATTGTTGGTATAATTTCCAAGCACGACGATAAGTGGGGACTGACGATGGCTAAAAACTAGATTGTAGTAAAATAGAAGTTGCAGCTTCCAATTAGATGGAAGCCAATAGTCGGAAAGAAAAAATGACCGACCGTTAAAATCATCGATAAAAGATTCCAAAGATTCAAATCTGCTTTTACAGACCGTGTTAAACGAATTTAGTAATGATTACCCTAACTCCCTTGGTGATGTCAATTAGCCGACGAAGAAATGCTCTGCCTGGTACGACGACCATGCATGCAAAGTTCAATAAGCCAATCAAAGACTGGATTTCTTTTAACGTGGCCTTTTTTGTTTTGAGGAATTCTCCGAGAGGCGTGCCTGTTTTGAGGATTTTGTCCTCTGGTAGACGGGCTTCCATAGCATACGTATCGAGCTCAATGCCAGCAAAAGTGAGGATATTTACAGGACCTACCGTTATATGCTGAGAAAACTCAAAACAAAGTTGGCTTGATTTTGAACATCAATGACTGAAATGTCGCTCGCGAGATCGTCTTTGCCAAGCATTTACAATTCATCCAAAATTTTAACCTTCTTGAAAAAATTCACAGTTTGGACAGCAGCATTGATGTCAATATATGAATTTGTAAAAGACTTCCATAAATTCCATCTGATTGTAGTTTAGTTTCTATCATGCTTTAGAAAACTACCATGAAACGATCAAACATTCAATTCAGACAGTGAGCTTGACTATGTTAGTTCAGTTGGCTATCAGTCGAAATCGGTCAAACCAATCACAATAAGACAAAAATTCAATCGAACCAATTACACGATAGCAATTGGACTCCCTTATAGGTCCGGCCACCCCGCTTATCGATCAAGATTATTCCAGATCGTCCACTGACCTGGCTATTGACCAATGGAATGGCTTTAATAAGCGTTCTTGAACTCTGTTATCGGTCGAACCAGTCGAGCCATCTCGCTTATCAATCAGCCAGTTAATATAATTCTAGATATGTTTTTATCTACTGATCTGTTTACTAAGGTGGTATTTATATAAGTTTTTTTATACAAAACAGAATTTTGACGATGAAATCAAAACGATTACAGAACGAAAATTTAATGATCAAAAAATTTTAATCATTAAATTTGATGAATAATTTTTGAACTATAAACATTTGTCGCATGACTGATTTGACATACCCTAGATCTGCCCATGAGATAAGACTTTCATGGGGAACTAACGATAAAATGATTGAAGTAAACCACTGACATAAAAAAAGGGAATCAAAGTAGTCGTTCCTATATTTTAATGAAAGAGTTTACAGAAACACAAAATCTATCAAGAAGAAAAATTATGAAATACATGAAATTTCAAGCAAAAACTTAGCAACCCACCACGATTTAGACCTGCTATTCGAGCATTATCATTATTCCATTCTTTATAAAACGCTTTTGTTTTTGCAGTGAGCAAGAACAGATACATTTCAAGAAAGTTTGCATGTGACGTCACACCGGCCATTTTTCGGTTCAAGTGCCGATGTTCAACAGACCACAAAATTAAAATAAATTCTTTTCACTAAAAGCGATTTTTCTACAACATGGCGATGGATGAGAACACTGAATTTTCCCATTACAATGTGTTATGCCATATATAGCAAATAGTAATCCTAGATGAGAGCTACGACTTTGTCTTCAAAGTCTTCCACTTTGCTCTTATTGTATCAAAATTATTCGGTGGGCATGCGTAGTTTTACCAACAGTCCAGGACATTGCAAATTATTCTCCATTTACATAGACAACTACACAAAGTGCATCAAGAAATGGACTTTAATGCTGGGAGCACATGAACTAAACTCCAGTAGCAATACCAAGATAGGAGTTGAAGCAATTCACATTCATCCGAAGTATCGACCAAGAAATGAAACACATTCTGGAAATTATGATGTTGGTAAGTGATGGAAATAGAAGACTTAAAAAAGGACATATACATTAGAAAATATCACTCCTGACAAAGGCAATAGACTGGATAAATAAGAACTCAAGTGTTAACATCAGATTACTCCTGTTGAGGATATTAGACTGGAGTATAAAAGAACTCGAGTTTCAACGTCAACTCACTACTGATGAAGACACTTGGCTGGAGAATATAAAAACTAAAGTTTTAACATCAGATCACTCCGGATGAATTAAGATGCTAGACTAAAGTGTATAAGGACAGAAGTCCTAACATATCATCAATTTCAATAAAGAAACCGGACTGGAGGATTCAAGTTTTAAGAGAATATCTGTCCTGATTAAGATACTACATTGTATAATTAATGACTCACCTTACAGCCAGTGACAACAATTGGTACCGTAGACATGAGTGTAAAAAATTACTGCTCATGAAAAAAAAATTGGAGATTTTCTGTATTTCAGCTATCGCGCAAATGCCAAGTTCGGCTAGAATACCCAGAGATATCATGCCTCTATGCCTACCGGGAAAAAATATTTTCTACAGATGCTCCATCACTGGCTGGGGACATACTTCCTATCATGGTTCCTTATCAAAAGTCTTACGCCAAGCCTACGTCGATCTAGTCCCGCTGGACATGTGTAATGGAGAAAAGTAAGCAAATTTCAATGTAATTCATGTGCTTAAGTGAGCATTAATGTAGAATAGAAAGATCAATTTCGTTTCAAGGGAGTTTAGATTTAATATACAAATAACGTAAAAATCGCGTCATAAGCAATTTAAATAGGCACATTTGTGAAAGTGAACAGAAAGAGTGCCTACTTCATTCATTTATAAGATAACCTTTTCAAAACACGGGCTGTAATTGGTAAAATGCTCGAAAAAACTTTGTTTGTACACAACTTTTGTTTGATGCACGCGGTAGTCATCTTCAGAGTCAAAAGAAAAAAAAACAAAAAAAAAATTGACTCAGAAGATGACTATTGCTAAGGTTGTCGAATTGTCAGTCAACAACAACAAAAACAGTCTTTCTCAGGACTATACCAACCTGGACGATCTACATTTACAAACATGTAACGATACTCCCGGGTTCAAACCATTTACTTTATTCTTTAAATATGGTCATAACTCTATTTCTTTCAAAATATCTCATAATTTTCCTACCAAAAAACAGACATTAATATAAAATTGTCTTCTGTTTTTTTCTTTGCTTTTTAACTTACCCTCAGTGATCTGAATTTTTGGATTATACCAATAAAAATATTTAATACTTTACTGAGATCTTTAATTTCTTTGAAATTCTTTTTCACGTCATTTTACTTTGAAAATATTCTTTTTGCAGCCATTTTAAAAAATCTGTAGGTAGTTGATAAACGTTTTTACAATAATACTTTATAATGTATTCCCATCATCCAAACAACCTTTCATCATAATGATATAAATATTTTTTCGACTGATTCTTTAATCTTTTTCTATACCTTGTGGTCATCATCATGATTAAAAGAATTTTCTTCCCTCTCAA